TATATATATATATATATATATATATATATATATATATATATATATATATATGTATATATATATATATTTCATACGTATAGACGTTTGCCGTAGCCAAATATGACCTATCATCCACTGTCGCGCCTGCGTATGCAGCTACAACAGCCACGATTAGTGTACTATTTTCGCGCCATGTGTAACACAAGAAAAGTGTAAAAAAGATAACAACCATGTGTAAATCAATGGTACAACTATATGTAATTATAAAGTATAACCATATATAATTACAGAGCATATAACTACGTGTAATATGGCCTTGTGAAAAACGTCCTTGGTTTTATCATGTTGCGCTCAACGAAATACAACTAAAACATGCAGAAATAAAACTTATCAACAACGAACTCAGCTGCCATGGCTTGCCTCTCATCCATAAAATTGATGTACGAGTATAAATGTCCGAGAAACCAAGTGAGATGGCCTCTTCCCCAGTACCTGCTTCACATTGTGGAGCACCATCAACCTGATAGCAGCCAGGGGCCCGGAATCAGTTAATTTCTCTCGGAAAAAATATGGTAGGCGCACGATCTTATACCCATAATTCTGTGCGTGTATAAAGTCCCTAATTCCTTCTGTATGCACTCTGTATGTATATTGGGTTAGCGCATTAAAGTTATGCGCATCATGGAATGGCGTGGATCGTGTGCTATTAGACTGGAAATGACGCGCGGATGACGCGATTGTTGAGGGGGTGTGCTGGTCTGAAGTTGTCAACAAGATTCGCATCGACTCCGGTAGATGGCGATCCCCCTTTCGGGTAGGTAAGCAGGCGCCTGAATTCTTCCATCTACGAAAAAGAATAAACTTCGCAATCATGTGAAATACTTTGCACACGTTCAACTAATAGGAATTCATTACCAACGAATAGCATGCCGTTTATGTTGACGATGAATCCTGGTATTGTGCTGATGTTGTTTGTTATTGGATAAATGTAGATACATATATAAAACAACTGCGCAGACATCTCTCTTTAATGTTTATCCCCTGTTTATCAATTATTATTAGTTTCCTAACATTCATTGAAATCCTTTCAACACATCAAATAATCTCAACAAATTAAAAACATCATACTCACTCAACATCACTCAGGTTCACTCAATAATGCTGATCACAAATAATTACTTTCAAATATCAACGAGATTATTGATAATAACATACCTGGGAATGAGATGATGTCAGTGGATAGCGAAAGATAACCCAAGTTGTATTCTCGCTACAGGGGGGCGTTGTCAATGATCCCTCGTACACCCAATAATCTCGAAGCATGGGATCTAAATTGTGTAAAAGCTATACGTTAAATTTTACAACAACATTTGCGAAGGATTATGTTGATTTTGCTGTGATTGCTATATTGAATATAATGCATGCAAGGAAATTATAATGCATATAAACTTAACAGAAATAGGGAATGTCATTAATCTGAAAGTGTAATGTACAGTACTTGTGATACAAACATATGCATGCACACACGCGCGCATGCACGCACGCACGCACGCACGCACGCACACAAACAAACAAACAAACAAACAAACACATACACGCACACGTCCATAACCTACCAGGAAGCAACCAACTGGGGTCGAATTCGGATATGTTATATTTTCGATCCTGCCAACATAAAAATGTTGAAACATATTTTGTTGTTAACGCGTTCAACGGTACAGGAGGTTGTCCTCCTCCCGGCTCCCTCCCCCTCTCCTCCCGCCTCCCTCCCCCTCTCCGCCCACCTCCCTCCTCCTCTTCTCCCACCTCCCTCCCCTCTCCTCCTATCTCCCTCCCTCAACACCTCCAGGGTCCTTTATATTTGCATTTTCCTTTTTGAATGTCACTTAGTTTCTCTGACAGTTTGCGTAATAAATGTATTTTCTCATGTAATTATTTCTCGTGCTATGGATTTCTTTTATTTTTCTCTACTTAGTATACTCTCTCTCTCTCTCTCTCTCTCTCTCTCTCTCTCTCTCTCTCTCTCTC